CCGATACTCATTCTAATCTCCGATACTCATTCTAATCTCCGATACTCCGATATTTTTAGTTACCTCAGCTAAGACAAGTCCATATATGGTATATAACCATTGAAAATTAAAAGACAAATATTACCGAACCTTTAATAAACCTTTACTTTTAGATAATTATACGGGCTAATTAACGTGTTGTGAATGTGTTTGAATGTTTTTTGTATATTCGTAGGAAAAACTGAACATACATCAAAAATATTTAATAATTTTATAGCATATTAACCCACTTCCGCCCAGCGTTACAGATATGCAACGACGGTTGTGTCTTATCTATTAGTTTAGAGAGAGGGAAGCAAACAAGTGCAAAACCTTTTTTCTTTTTTTCTAATAATTCGTAAACAAAGTGAGTTTAGAAAATGCATTATCCGTGAATGTTTTTAATTTTTTGTATTGATTTTATTTTATATATATAAACAGCAGTATTACTTACATATATGTTACACTGGGCGTATGACAGAAATATATAAAAACAAAATTTAAAAAAAAAAAAAAAAAAAAAAAAAAAAAAAAAAATTAAAAACTAATTTAAAAAAAGAAAAGCTGTGTCTGATCGATAGATAGATCGAAAATGATAAAATTTTAATATAATTATTTCATAATTATGCCATCAGACATTGATGGATATATGAAATATTTAAAAAAAATAATATTTCACATAAGCGAGACACGCACATCGTCACACAAACGGAAATACACACACATATACACACAAACGGAAATACACACACACGCACACACAAATACAAACGCACACACACACACACACACACACACACACACACACAAAACAAACACACACCTTCATGCAAATACATATACACAATATATACAAATCCGGTTGCAATTTGATTACATATTAGATAGAAGGGACAGAGTCTAGCAACATGTTGGCATCATACTACAACAGTTTACAGTTAGTTATTAAAGGTAAATGACGACGATTTCTCCTGATGATTTTTTTAATCAGATTAGTCTCGAGATTCAAATTGGCATACGCTTTAAAGAAGGAGTATACAGATGGAGTGGGTGAATGTGTCGTGTCAATGGTAGAAATGAGCGCTATATACATACAATGCACAAAATCAGCAAACGAGCAAAAGATGAAACACCTATATATACATAGATATATATACATAGATATATATATATACTATATATACTGTGCGCTATTGCTTGCTGCTATTGCCTGCTCTTGCTTCCTGTTGATGCCGTTGCCGCTGCTGATGCTGTTTCTATTAGGAGGCGGTTTGCAAGTACCTATATAGCAAGTAGAAATGTTATCGCAGACGGCAAGTCCTTGGAATAAGCTTTTAAACGACAACTGTTCGAGTAAATAGTCCCGATGTCCTTTTTGTTGCTGCCGTTGTTATTATTCATATTGATATAACATCTATATTGGTGGTGGTGGTGGTGGTGGTGGTGGTGGTGGTGGTGGTAGTGGTGGTAGTGGTGGTTGGTGTTGATGTGGTGTCGATAGTGGGAAATAGATGAGATGGTAATCAAAAGTTTATTATGCTTTTAAAGTGTTGTTGCTGATGTTTTAAATTTGATGTCGTTTGTATGTTTATATTACTGCACGTTCGCACAAAATGAATTATAACACTGATTTTTCTCACATTAACTTTCTTCTTACAATTTCACAAGAATCACTTTGAAAACACACTTACGAGACGCAATTAATTCAATTTAATATAATTCTTAATTATTATTATTATTATTATTATTATTTTTTTTTTTTTTTATTTTTTTTTTTTATGTTTTACTGGTGTGTTGGTTAATATGCACGTATGGCATAAATTAGATAGAAAAATGGCCCAGAATAACAAATTCAATACATGTTATATATAACGCTTTTCTTTTTATTTTGGCGCCAATTATTTAAATGTTTTAATGAGTTTTTACTGAAATTTATTCAAATATTAAGAAATTAAACTTACTAATTATTAGAGAGACACACACAAGCCGACGTTGAGCGGAAAAAGGTTAATATTTTCTTCTTTTTTTTTTTTTTTTTTTTTTTTTTTGTGTTTTAAAGAAATTGTTTATTTAAAATTGAAGAATAATTTTTTGTTTGCTTAATCTGAGAAAGAAATATGCATACCTATCATCGATTGTGAAAAATTCTAAAGCGCATTATATTTTTTGTTTTTGTTTGCTATTTATTGATTGCATTCTTGCATTACTGCTACTCTTACATACCATACCGCAAAGCTGACGAAATTTAATAAGAATATTTTTGAGAATATGTAGAGAAGAAAATCTCATGGTATAACACAAACCCGCTTAGGATGCAACAGATTGATTTAGGATACGTCTACTTACGAATCCATATAATATGATATCCGCGATCATTAATTTAGGAAGGCCACAAGACGACATAGCACATTTCGTTTGAAGAATTGTGCTGTGTAAAAATCCTATCAATTCGTCAATAGTGGCGATATCTACGTTTTATGCTACCAACTTATCGGTCTTTGTTATATAAACAATACACATGTATACATATATAGGGATATATAATTATAATTGGAGCCATATCCTCCGACCACTTTAATCCTCGTTAAGTTTGATCGCTGAAACCACACCATCAAGAAAAAGGAAGATGTGTACAACGCAGATTGGTAAATTAGTTAAATGATTTTTATAAAATATCTAAAAAAAAAAAAAAAAAAAAAAAAAAAAAAAAAAACGGCAAAGAAGAAGAAGGTTTTTGTGTGACCAATGAAAAAATTTTCGAAGGGTTTGTTGTTGCGATATTAGCAGAACAAAGGAAATTGACTGAAAAATGATCCATTGAAGACACGAGGAACTTTTCTAATTAATAATAAGTAGGTATATATTAATTAGAAAAATTGCTCGTGTAGTTCCCTAGGAAAGTCGTCTCCTAGTCATTTCTAGGAAGGAACAATATGCAAGGCTTTACATCCTTATGAAGGGGTTAAAGAACTTTCGTTAGCATACACATGCATACGTTGTATCGATCTGGCCCAGACGGTAATGCAATGAAATTGTAAACTCTCGGTGTTTCACATTTAAGACATTTAAAGAAGCCTTTCCCCCCTCCTCTTCATCTGGGCTACAAAATCAATAAATACTTGCACACCATAAACAGAAATAACAAACTCCGCTCCTCACCCTCCCCCCCCCCCCTTTTCCGGGCACTTAAAAAAAAAAAAAACTCTATTGAAGTATTACTTAGTGCAGTAAGTTGTCTGCGTAAGTCTGTCTGCTGCTCTGTTGTATGCAATTTTCTGGTTATTACTTTTATGTTCACATTTAAAATTGAAATACTTTGCAAACGGCCTACTAAAGTTGCAAAAACCAAAACAAAACAAAAAAAAAAAACAAAAAAGAAACTTTGAAAATATAAAAGCAATTTTTACTACACACAACAGGAACACACAACGCATAAAAAAAAAAAAGAAAAAACGCATATTCAAGAAAACCTTTTCTTTTTTTTTTCAAGCCAGACGCTTTTAATTCTTCCTTTACAGTAATTCACGTTGTTTGTATTGATTGTTTATGTTGCTGTTCCCCGCTCTTTCTTCTCTTTCTGTCTAACGACGTACTTCTTTTTTTTATTTTTAAAATGTATGAATGAAAGGAGAGAAAAAAAAAAAAAAAAAAAAAAAAAAAAACTGGAGCCTAACAGCCTCTGACTTTGTTGCAAACGGCTAGACACTGTGCCTGCGAGTCAATCTCCCGTTTTTGTATTATTAAGTGCGACGGTGAAGCAAAAAGAATAAAGTAAATAGAAATTCGCATTTGCTTTGAAACGAATCTGGTGCACTAGCTAGCTGCCAACAACTCTTTTATATCACTTCTAAATTTTATTTCTCTTAGTTAACTCTACGTCTATACTTAAGGATCGTGTGCCCCCTGCAGCACGTTCAAAAGCTTCAAAACGATTCAAAATTCGATTTTGATTTTTTTCTTATGAGAAAGCGCACAAATGTGTATTCTATCTAATAGAAACAAATGACAAATCGCTTATCGTCTAGAATATTATATATATATATATACTTCTAAACCGTTCATAAGGTACGCCAAACTTAATAGACGTTCATCCTTTGCGGTAGAAAAAGATTCATTCCTGTATAATGTAATGAGTGTGCTTCGCTATTCATATATAGCTCGGTTGAAATACATGCATATATGCACATATATAGATATTTATATGTATATACCTTTAGTTATTGTTGGGAATGGTAATGACTTTTACATATGTTGATGACATCTTCGCATCGACATGTTATTCTCTAAATACAAGGCGAGACAAGGCAACACCAATATCATCCCCAATCACGAAGTCAACAAACACATTCATTCATACTTCATTCATTCATTCTATCAAGATAAATAAGTTTCAAAAAGTGCTCCGAATATATTTCACTTTTTCGATTACAGTCTCTCTCTCTCTCTCTCTCTCTCTCTCTCTCTCTCTCTCTCTCTCCTTTCTCTCTCTTCCTGCTTTCCTCCTTTCCAATTTTAGGGAGACAATTTAAAATGATTTTGTTTTTTCAATACTTTCGCAAGGATTATATAGAGGACATATTCGATTAGGTCAGTTAAATAGGCGTGGACTAGGTCAGTTAGATAAGCGCAAAGTTTTCGTTACTTTTGTGACGTATAATTTTCTACTCTATAGTTTTGTTAAGAAACGCATTTCATCATTTCATCTAAATGCCAGTTGAATTGTTAGCAATGTCTGTTGATTCGATTCGATTCGCTTCGATTCGAATAACTTGTTCTTTCATGCTATATTAAGAAGCAATGCCATTTTTCCCATCTACTCATCTTCTCATGTATTTACATAGATGATAATCGATTCGTCAGTCGATTGGCCATCGTAATAAAAAAGTGATTTACACAATAAACCCCTAGCTAATATCTAAACAATTTATTAACTTTCCTTAGGTAAAGAAATATTAAATTATTTTTAAAAGGAGCAATTTTTGAAAAGTTTTGTATTAAATTTTTTTATTATAACACACACAACAAGCATTCACTACCAGCTATTACAGGCAATTTATCATTTTGCTACTTATTGTGTGTGTGTGTGTGTGTGCGAGCACCATATACTTGGTGGCAATGTATTGTATGCATAATTTATACTCGTTTTAAACATAGAGGGCGCACGCAAATGCGTGCGCGGATGAAAATGCAAAAACTCCTTTAAGAAGTCTCACTACCACTGGACCTGTACTATCTACGTGGGTGACTGTGAATGCAAGAAGGAAGTAATAAAACAAAGAGAAGGAAAACGATAAAAAGGGATAGGACGACCGAGAAGCGCTATATGAGAAAGAGAAAAAAACATGTCAAATCCTTTTCATACACAGCAGCATTCCTTATATATTTTTTGTACTTGTCAACAGCGTCATACATCGGCAAACAAACTTTGCACATCCATATCTTTTCAATTTAAATAATATTTGTGACGAGGCAAAGAAGAAATTCGTACCCAATCTCCCTTATCATTTCATTTGCGATGCGTTACCTAAAACGACAATGACATTTGCAGTCACAGTCAGTCAAAAGTTATGGAAAAAGAGAACCCATGACGGCATATGAAAATTGTTTGCTTACGCCAAACTCGATCAATCTGCTTGGAAAATAATTTCATTTTGTTTATCTCGGTTCATTGATTGATAATTGAGCCGAAATAGCGAACCCAGTATTCCAACATGAATAACGTTCATGATTACCCGTTCCATAAAGCGCATTATTCGCTTTCAAGCCACATCAAACTAACACTTATCTGCGAAATGGCAACATACCACCCCACCGCATATATAATGCCATCGAGAATCTATTCAATGAAAAATCTCTTTCTTTCGTTTCTTTTTCGCTTCGTTCGCATAATTTATCTCAAATCTATTAAAAAATTTAAGCGATTCTCTATAAGAAGCTAAGGCGGTTGCATTTCAGAATGCGTGCTGCTGCTTGCTTATCCAAGATTGGCTCAAAACACAAGATTCTTCAATTCTTTCCTATATGTAAAATGAAATTCTTAGCACAAACGGACAATCGTATGGTTATGGTTGGAAAATGTGGTTAAACAAAAAAGTAGTCAAAGCAGAGCGTATTTATTATGCATATTAAAATTGAAATTCAATTTCGATTCAATAAATTGTGCATAGAGCGACAATTTCTATTTAAAAAGAATTTTATGACCTAGGAGAGTGAGTGAATGGGAAAGGGAAAGAGAAAGAGAAAGAGGAATTTATGGCCAAGATATGCACACACGAAGTGATTTTATGACACATACCTGTCAACAGCAGGGCCCTGTTACAGTGTGATTTATACTTTTATAATCTCATCTCTTGCGTGCCTAATCATTAGTATATCGTATCATGTGTTATTTATTATATTACATTGTGTGCTCTCTAAACACATAACGCGTAAGTGATGATATGATATGATATGATATGATATGATATACGTTATATGAGCATGAGCTTCAGCTCTTCATCAATCGATGAAATTTTTTAAAAATGCAAATAATTGAAATTTAAAAGTCTCCTGCCTCCTGCCTCCTGCCGCCTGCCGCCTGCCGCCTGCCTTCTTATCCTATTTATTTATTTATTTATTTATTTAGATGCCGATTAATTAGTTCAAAATTATTCGATTAAAATCGTAGGTATGCATATTTCTTTACTGATAGGGTATTAGTGAAGTAAGAAAAAAAAATATCCCTTTTAAAGCGCAAAGAGCATATAACAAAAAAAAAAAAAAAAAAAAAATTTAATAATTAAATGAAATAAAATAAAATTTTTAAAAAATATTTGTAACACTCTCTTTGCACTTTTTTGGGTGACTACTGGCAACACATGCTGCTTGCTATTATTTACAGAATATAGTGAAGATTTTATAGTTTACGTACCTTTTGCGATTGAAGAAATTTCCCTGTAGAAAATTGTTACGGGCATTCACTTCGTCAGACTGCAAGTGAAAAAACAAAAAAAACTCAAGAAATTAAAAACTTAAAACTCTTAAAACAATAAACACAGGTGTAATTGTAATATAAATTAAGCGCGTTACAAGCAAAACAAGAAATCTCGCATTCGATTGAATAACTTTTCATACCCACCCCCACTCCACCCCCATCGTCAACCGTACAATAATATCTATGCATTATTATATTATTTTATTGGTAGTAGTAAGTAATAAATTGCAGAATGAAAAGCGATTTGGTGTAAAACACTGCAAGTAGAATATTCGGAATTGAAAGCGGGAACTGTAATAAAGCACACGGGTGTATATCAGAAAAACACCACAAAAAATATGTAGAAAAGTCTTTACGTCTAATCTAAAACTGTAACTCTATATATATATATATATATATGAAGAAGTGTGATTTCAAAAGATCGGGATCTGCAGAGCACATCAAGAAACTAGTAAAGAGGCTTTTACTTATTTGCGCTAAGAAGAAACTCGAATATCCTTTTTTCCATGCTCATCTTGGAAATTCGCCTAAATCGTGAAGATGATGCCCCAATATATACACCCCGCCTTATGAAATGCTAGAATGGATTGTGTTTCTCAATATACTCGTGAAAAAAATCTCCGAATTGGACAAGGGAAATGAAATAACGGAACGAAAATTCAATGTCTGCCTTAAATCTTTTCCGGACTCCCTCCTGCCCCTTTTCAATATCTCGTGATTATTTACGGCCTTACCGCCGGTTAGGAGCAATATTTTGTAATATATCTAAAATTGAATCCGATACCTAGCATTTGTCGCGTCCTTCTAATTACAGATTCAAAGAAGGCACGCGGATGATGTAAACAGCACCGATTCCTCCTGCTAACCAACCAGTGCCTATTTTATGTAAACTGTTAAGAAATTGCAGAACGGGCTTATTAAAATTTGTATCTATTAACCAAGCACTTCATGGGCGTTCTTTTTTTTTTTTTTTTTTTTTTTTTTTTTTTTTTTTTATTCCTACCGTATTACCGCATAAGTACCGTTTATCAGTATTTTTTCTGTTGAAAGTTCTGTTGAGTTGGTAGGTAATGAATGCAACTATAATCTCAAACACTTAAACGCCCGTATAGATACTATAGGCGTTAAGAGGTTAAAGACGGAATGACAAAAAAAACTAGTGACGTGCGTCCCTCTCTCCGATTCGCGTTATGATTGGTAAAAATTTTCCAAGCACCTGCTGCACACATTTAAATAAAAATAAAATTATAACAAAAGTACAATAAGTAATTTTGCAAATAATGCAAACACATACGCCCACATGTTCATACATGATGCAAATATGTAAATCACCCATAAACGTCCATAAATTTATTCATAGAAATGTTTGACTACAATATGTAATGACATGCAGCCAAAATAATTACGTATGCATGTGAGTGTCTACGCTGCTGTTATGCATGCAGCAGACAAATACACTTAAAAATAAACAAGAGTATATTAAGCGGGTATATACACTCACGGTTACATCTTGTACGTAATATATACAAAACGTTGAATGTAGGATTTATAAATATATAAAATATTTCATTAGGGGTTTGTTGCCGGATATAAAAATAACTAGTACTACCTACACACTACTACCACCAACCCAAAAATCTGCTGTATATATTTGACCGCAATCTGAGAAAGCGCGCGCTAAAATGGATGAAATAGTTTTGTTCCTAACTAACTGAAGGGCCGCAAACTTACATTATTAGTAAATATTTCTTACTTATTATTATTATTATTATGAAAAACCCTAACCCCAGACCAGATAGATCACTTCTTGACTGACTAATTTCTGTCATCCATCAGATATCAGATCTGAGAGTCTAAATGACTCTCAGTTTTATTGAGGGACTTTTTAAACCTCTAGATTGAAGATTAAAGGCAGATGACCATTACATTAGCGTTGGCGTAGATAACACAACAAAGAGCATAGAAAATGAATCTTTTTTTCTTACTTAAGAAGAGCGCGACACACACCCGTTAGTCACACTGTCGGAATGAGAATATAAATAAATAGGTACGTAATACAAGTCCTGCATTATATATAACATATATGTTTTACACGAAAAGTGTAAGGAAAAAAAAAAAAAAAAACCAAGAATTCGGTAAAATTTAGCACACTTTTGATAAAAATAGAAGAAGGAAAGAAAAGCAGATCAGATCAGCTCACCGCTGAACACTAAAAAAATTATTTTTTATTATTTATTTATTATTTATTATATATATAAATTATTAACGACGGCGGTGGATAACTCTACTAAAGGAAACTAAAAATTTAGTAAAACATTTAGAGAATAGAATGGAAAAGAGAGAGAGAGAGAGCGCAGCAGCACACAATCAATTTATCGCACTAAATGAGTAATCGTTTGAAAGTAAGCAAGCGATAATAAAAGTAAACACACACAATCACATTTTTCCTTCTCGTTTCCAGATCTTTTAAATCAAAATGAATTTTTTCAAAATTCCCCGCTTTTAACGGTGATAATTCTTAAAATATTTATTATATCATCGGTGGTACTTACATTAACGATTGGATTTTGCTGATGTTGGGAAGGGCTGGTCGATAGCACTTCACCGCCATGACCAATAGCGGATGCAATTGCAGTATTACCGCTGGTGATGTTTGTTCCTGATATACAAGATGGACCACCGCCACCGCCGCCGCCGCCGCCGCCTACACCACTAGCAACATTCGTTGGGTTATTGTTGGCGCTGTTGTTGTGGTACGATTGAAAAAACTCATCGATGCTTTCATCACCAGTATTAAATCGCACAGTTGTCGGAACGTTACTGCCACTAGCCGAGTTTTTAGTATTGCTAGTAGAGGCAGTATTTATAGAATTCGGTGTTGTGGCGGCTAAAACGAAACAATTACGAAAATCACGTAAATAAAGCTCAAATAGTAAACACGAATTTTAAAAGGGGCATTTTTATCGCCTTCTGCCTATTTATCTAGCCTTACTTTATATATATACACACTTCTTCTTTCCTATAACTAAAAAAAAGCTCGTGCACCTAATTGTAGTTAATACATATTAGAAAACAAAGCATATACAAGAGTAGATGAGTTGTTTGTGACATTTTGCTCCACACACTTCGGAAATCGTAACATTGCGTAGATTATGGGTACGCGAAAAGGATAAACTATAGTTAAAAAGCGAGATCTGGATCCTTGCACTAATATATATGTGTATGTGAAACATTTTTGCGAAAAATTTTAAGAAATGCTCCGCGAACTGTCATGTGGTTAAAAGTTGCATTTGCAAGCAATTCTTGCTAACATATCTGAAATGAATATTTTGAATATCTTTTGTCGTGTTTAGTCAAAAGTTTCTCCTCAACAATTTGTCATCGTGGCTTATATATATATAGTCTGCAATAAGCTGTTTATACAATCCTTTTAATGACAACACAATCACATATTGTAAATGCTATTTATCTATGCTTTTTTACTCTTTTTACAATATTCATTTTTTTTTTTTTTGTTTTTTTTTTAGCTTTTTGTCCAAAATAAATTTAAAAGAATTTTAAACGGATTTGTTGATTAGATTTGCAGAAGGGAAACACGTACTTTTGACGGAAGCAATGGTTTACTTTGCCCAAAGGTTGTCATCAACGAAAAACGGTTACTCTAAGAATACTCTTATGGGCTAAAGAAGAAGAACAAAAATGAAAAGACATAACTGCATAATTGCTTGCATTTACTTCCTTTCCCACGTCGTTCTGCCAATGTACCCGGTCCGTTCGTTCGTACCAGTTTCATAATAAACGCGTTTTCTTGTCTTTACCCGGATGTCTCACAAACAATCAATGCCAGGCGTTTTAAAACGATTTCTATATATATCTCATCTACATACGTCTGTCTGCCAAATATCAAATACACTCCAGTTTTTTTTTTTTTCATTCTTGTCTTACTTTTCGCTGGATAATTGCTTTTATTAAAACAAAAAAAAATTCTACTTTCACACACACACACACACACACACTCCTTTTACTCCAACGGAGAAAAAAAAAAAAAATTATTTTTCGATTTATTTTCTTATTCGTTTTACGTACATACCTTTTTGTTGCAATTTTAATGAATCCATTTTATTTTCGTTAATTATTTAACGAATCAATGATTACCGCCTCTCTCTCTGTGTTGGACTAAAGTCTGCAAATACTTTTGTTTTATGATAACAACCACACAAAACACATTCAGTTACAAAAAAAAAAAAAAAAAAAATTCAATAAATAAAATTATTTTATAGTTTATTTATAAGTTTGATGTCTTTTTTTTTTTCTACAAATTATGCGCTAATCACTACTATATCTTCTTCTTCTTCTCGATTTGTTGCCTTTTAATGGGATTTGCAGCAGAAACGAAAAGTAAAAAACCGTTGGCTCTTTTTGTGTTTGTTTGTTGCAATGAATTCTTCAAGTTTTTTTTTTTTTTTCTCTTTTGGCTTTTATTTTATTTATTTTTATTTATTTATTTTGCTTTTTGTTTCGCCCTAATTTTAGAATACCAGAATTATCACAGATTGTTGTTGTTAATGTGGATGTCAGGGCGAACACATAGCGCATAATAGAAACACCATTACACCAAACATTATTATTGTATATATAGATATATATATATATATATATGTATACATGTATATATATATATATCATATTTATTTATTTATTTATTTATATATATTTTTATAGAATATTTTTATTATTATTTATTTTATATTATTTTATTTTATATATGTTAAGAGTCGTAGGATTTTGCAGCGAGATCGGTATCATCATCAAAAAACAACATAAAAACAGCAACAATAAACGGCAAATAATACATGAAAAGATAATAAAATAGAACAGAGGAAAAAATTACTTTCATTTTTTACATATTATTTCAACAAATCATTAACGATGTGCCACTTAATGCGCTAAAGCATAGATATCTACTAACTATGCTTATGTGCATTTGGGCGCACATTTCGAAATACAGAAAGATGAAAGATGCATATTTTGTTTGTCTTGCGAGATTCGACAAGGAACTATTTATTGCTTTAGCAATTAGTACAACAAATAATGTTTGCTTGCTGTTCGGATCTATAATGAATGTAACAGTGTATGTGCATATTACAATTGCAATGTGTTTGGGGCACCAATTTTATACCCGGCTTCAAAATAGATGTCATTGCATCTTATATATTCGCTTTGCAAGCTCCAGAATTAGGAGTAGCTTGTGAGAGAGATTTAAGTCTGTTGTGCTCTTAAGCAATCCTCGCAATTTCCACGAAATAGATGAAATCCACATTCATTGGATACCATAGTGTTTACGCACAACAACAAACACTTTCCAAAGACACAAAAAAAACTAGGTTCATAATTTTTTGGATCAAAAATATAATGGACACTGATATATAACCGCTACGCATGGGAAAGTTCCAAGTGTCAAGATACTCATTGATACTCATTGACAATCATTGAAGCACTTCTCTCTCGACTCGCGCTCAAGTAATATGAATAATTCAGCCTACAAAATTAATATAAAAACGCAAACCGCGTATCCCCGGCCCTACCACTTCTACTAAACCGCATATGAGTCGCGTGTTCTATTAAATGACCCAATAACATTAATAATGCATATGCTAATGTTGTTATCTTTCATACACAAGAAAATGGAAATTTCGAGTGCAAGTGAAACAAAAGCAAATAATCGCATACACATACGCGCCAATACAAGCCAATGAAGTAATATTTATGCATCTTAGGTCTGTCCTATATAATTTGTCTATATATATTTTAACAGTCTTTCAAGAGCGAATTCCTACAGAAGCGCGGTTCGTTTGACTTGCTGTTCGATAAACGGATATCTTTAATATCGAATCAGCAATTTTGAAGAGATATTTGGTTGACACTGAAAACTATTCTCCTTACTTTTTAAATTTTGCATCCATTAGCACATTTTTTCTTTCTCTACTTTTTTTTTTTTTTTTTTGTTTTCATTAGTAAACAAAAATGTCGTAGGTGGGTAACACAACACATACCAATGTAGTTGAAAATGAAACAAATCTAAACACGAACTGTGAAAATAGGCCATGCGCTCTTACTGTGTAAACGTATATATATATATATATATATATATATATATATAAATTTATATATTATGATTGCATATACATAGCTATTTATTATAGTTATTATTGTATATATTACGCATACACACATCAGTAGTATTGAGATGATTAGTTCTCCTCAAGCACAGCATACAAATTTAGTGCTACACGTGCTGCCAAGTGTTGTGTTCTTCTCTTTCCTTCCTTCCTTCCTTCCTTCCTTCTTCATATTTTTTTATTTACCATTAGCACAGAATAGTTAAGATTTTTAACTATGTTTTGCTCTTATTTACTTTCTTGCTCCAAATTTTTATGACGAAGAAGAACAAACAAGAACAATGACAAAAACAATTTTTTTTCTGCACTAAATACTGTTAACATCATCGCTACTGTACTGTGTGTATGCATATTCAATGTGCGTATGTGAGTAAATTTACGCTCTCGTTCTCTCTATGATATAAAAGCAAAAGCATGATGGCTAGTAAACAATAATGTTACATTCTATATATATATATATATGCGTATACTATAACTATACATATTTACATATGGATATATATCTACATACACATGGATGTGTTCTTGTTTGTTTTCAAACAGATTCCGATTCAATTTTTCTTTTCTATACTTCTTTTCTATATTTTTCTATTCTTATTTTAATCTTTAGTTGTGTATGTGGGAGAAAATTTGTCGATTTTTGCAGATTGTTTGAGAGAACATTTAAAACTGCACTGTTTTACCGCGAATAGGGAATAATGTTAAAACGACAATAATAGCGCATTTATACCAATTAGCCTATTTATCAATTCAAATGTTACCTGTCCACGATTTTATTCGTTCTAAATTAGAAAAAAAAAAAAATTACCATAAAAGGTCGATATATATATATTTATATACACACACATTATATATATATATATATATATATATATTTTTTTTTTTTTTTTATATATATATATATTTTTTTATATATATATATATTTTTATATATATATAAAACAAGAAAAATTCACATTTGAATTAAATGCGAAATATTTTCGCATACTCCTCTGACTAACTGAAGGTGATGTGGCTTTAAAATTTGACAATACTGAAATTTGCTTCTCTCTGGAATAAGTGAAGCGGGCAAAAAATATAAGTTCAACTCTACTTGTGTATTGCCCTGTAGGTAAGAGATATAGCAAAATCGTAAGCAGTTAGTTGACCGCGACTTTATAGTATAAGTTGTTAGAATAACAGAATAAATAGGAAAAAAAATGTTTTAGCAAAAATGTGCAATGAATTCTTGGAGAAAACAACGCATAAGGTCTACTGGGTTTTATTAAAGTTGGATCGCATATTTTAATTCCCGCTACACAATAAGCGAAATGCAATATTTGGGGTAATATATTTATATATTTACACAAATATGGCAACCCTTTAGCATATTTAAGGAATTTTCAACCAAACAATCAGGATCAGAAATATTTTATTCAACTACACTTGATGGAAGTTCCTCAAATCTGCCGTTAAATAATCATCAAAATTCATTCATACATTTTTTAATTAATAAAACATTAAAACCTATACATGAATGCATAATTAGTTTAGTAATGAAACGATGAGATGATATACAGAGTGCTTCTCAAAACTAAAGACCATTTTCAATCATGCTTCCAAATTGTTCCGTAAACTCAAGCACATCTCTCAAGTCTTCGAAGTCTTAAGTGAAAACTTACCAATTTTTTTTTACAACACTTACAAACACTTTTTTCAGCGCTTTTTTATTTCAATTTGATGGTAGCTTCAGAAAATATTCTAATGAATTAAATTGTCAAATAAAAAGCAAACACAATCTGTTTAATAATTCGCTTCAATTCTTGACAAAGTTCAGTTAAGCATTTATGGGAAAGGAGGGCTTGCCGTTTTATGTTATTTTCAGTACATTTGTGTTTGATGAAATCTAAACTTCACACGCATCCTTTTCAAATGTGAAAATTTTGTAAAATTTTTTGCACAAAAATTTTTTACTAGCAGTCGGATGTGTTCACGGTCACGCACTTATTTAAAATGAAAGTTAAAAATATTTTATAGAATGCCCTGGGTTTGATTATTATAAAAATTGTCATGGCTGTCTATGATAAAATTTGAAAAAAATTTTTTACGACCGATAAAAGCCATCTAGATCGATTTGAATTTTGATTTATGTAAAGTAAGTTAACTAAATAAAAACTACCTTTCATACATAGTAGCAAGTAGAAAAAAGGGAACACACTGTAGCATCATCGAATCTATATTTTTGCCGTTGCTTTTTCCGTCACTTGGTTCTTATAAATTTTTTCACTTTTGAAAGTTTTTTGACAAAGAAAAAAAAAAAATACAATTGCAAAATGAAGCTTTACTCGGCTCTCTTGGGCCGAATCCTTGCGCCATCATATCACCCTATTTGTATAAATTTTTGTTTTGCTTTGGTTAGGTCTACAAATTTGCGATTGTCTAATTAGCCAATCTTCTCAATCTGCGTAAAAACAGAACGCTTCCAAAAATATAGGTGTTTAGTTGTTCCGGATGGTATGAGCGATTTATTATGAAATTCTGGCGAGTTGTATATTTTAGGTTACAAACCGAAGATGTGACTTGATGCACTCTTTTCCTGCATTTTAGTCAAGACCACATCATTTCAATTAGATAATTTTTGTATTAGAAGAAAATGGAAAAAAAAAAAACAATACGACATAATGCACACAGATGTGTGCGCGAATAATGCATTAATTTAATGAGAATTTTACCTTTTGTTTATTTGTTTGTCTGTTTGTACGCGTTTATATGTGTTGGTGTATGTGTGTGTGTGTGTGTGTGTGTGTGTGTGAGCAATTGAGGTAAACGCGCATATTGTCGAAACCTATCTATGCACACGTTGATAATTTAATTCTTATTGTTGTTTTGCGGACATTTTAGACTTTTTCTTCTTCAAGTTGAACTTTTCCTGGATTACACAGCTAACGAATAACGATACATGATTTTTTATTCATTCTATGAGAGCAATATATTGGCCATTATCAGAAGGAAAATGCTTGTACTTACTTGCTCAAGTTTTTTTTTTTTCTTTACTTTTGTGGGCTGGGGTGGAGGAGAGGGGGAGGAGGGAGTTTGCAAAAGAAAACAATTTTACGCAGAACTTTCTTTGATACGATTTTTGCCGTTTTTTGATATATTTGTGTTGCAGCTCTGATATAAACAAGCCACTAACTGTTTTGCGAACTTAATAGATCTCTGCCAAGCAAACATAAATTCAGATTCGTTTTCTTTTCTTCCTGCGCCTTTTGCTTCTTTTACAGTTCCTCCATGATATATATTTCGTTTACA